GCACCAAGGGGCGTGTTCCAGAGAGGAAACCAGCCCCCATCAGATTTCTGTGAGGCAGATTAAAAATGGAGAGGAACAAAATGGACAGGAAGATGCAGGCAAAAAAGATTCACAATCTGAGGGGACTCAATCAGAAGAATTTAGAGGAAGACCTGGAGGAGGGTTTTACTAAATTACCTCTGGCTGGCTGGGCACCCGCCATTCGAATTGGGCTGCTCTCCTCCAGGAGAACAGGGTTCAATAATTACTCTGAACTGGCGGTCGCCATGCTTACACCCCTACAACGTGACCTTAGAAGAGCGCAGGAAGCGGGGGAAGACATTACAGGTTTTCAGCTTTTTCCAGTCTTTGAACAGACTAACTGAAAAACTAGCATGTCTGCATGCATGCTGCAGTTCCTTTTAATACTCTAAAGGAGCTCCAAAGCGCTTGCTGTACCTATGGTCCAAACTCCACCTTTATGCAAAGCCTGCTGGGTTCGTTATGCCATGAGCCTTTACCCCCAAATGACTGGATTTTGATGGCAAAAGCTTGCCTTTCCAGGGGGTGATCTTCTCCTTTGGTGATCTCACTGGACTAATTATTGCACAAACCGGCTGAGAGGAACAGGAGGCAAGGCTTTGATGCTCCCTTTGGAGATGTTAATGGGAACTGGGGAATTTGCAGACCTAGAGAGACAATTGGATTATGATCTAGCCATTTATGATCAGATCACTGCATGTGCCAAAAGGGAGTGGCTTGAAATATCTTCCTGGGATCAGTCTAAATTGGATTTAAGTCAGATTAAACAGGATCAAAAAAACAATTCTCCCAATTTTGTAGCAAGCCTGTACCAGGCAGCGAACAGATTGATGGGAGACTCAAATGCCTCTGAGTTCATAGTCAAACAGCTAGCATTTGAAAACACCAATAAAGTTTGTCAGGATATCCTCTTACCCCATCCGGGAAAAAGGGACAGTTTCTGAATTCTTTCGCCTTTGTGCAGATGTTGGTTCCACACAATTTCAAGGTTTTACACTCCCGCGGCTTTAAAACAGGTACTCCATCCCCCATCCCAGACACACCAATTAAAACACCATGGTGTTTTAATTGTGACAGAACTGGGCGTTTGGTGCGGGACTGCTAATCTCCGCACATTAGGGCAGAAGCCACCTCCTTTGCGCTGCAGAAATGGGCAGTGGCAAGACTCTGAGCTATCTATTCCTCTGATGCAAAGGCTTGTTGATCGTCCAGCTCTGGAAACCCATCGCATACCTGCTCCCCGAGGTCTGGTCCTTGTGCCTTCCTGAGAATTAGCAGAACAGGTGCAGGCTGTGGCCCAATCGCTAGGCCGCTCCTTGGGCCTTCGGGTACAAGAACTAGGAGGAGGTCATGGCATGCATAGAATCAGGCTGCAACTGTCCAAACAACCTTCAGCACATGTGTTCGCAGTGGTGTCACTATGGGACAGAAAGCTGCCTGGCTAGGGGGAATGGGAACAGATATGTCAGCAGCCCACCTCCAATTCTGACTTCACTTTCGCCTTCTTCGGGCCAAAAGCAAGGGGTGGGGCCTGCCCCAAGCCCCACAAACAATGGGGGTCTCTACAGTATGCGCGGGAGGAGGAATCAGAGTTGCAGTCTTTGACATCATCAGAGCCAACCATGGCGGATCGTCACTATTACAGCCAGCCCCACCCAGACCATACTTTTATGACCAGCTGTGGTAATAAATTTAACACCTGAAATGGGACCACAGTCAGTTCCTGTTGGAATCCATGGGCCATTACCCCCAGGTACCATAGGCCTAATTGTGGGACGAAATGATTTAAAAGAGGGAATTCAGGTAATGCCAGGGGTTATTGACTTGGATTTTAGAGACGAGATTAAAATCACTGTGAAATCAGAACATGCCATTAGGCTCTCTACAAAAAGACGTGCTGGGGGGCTGGGGCTGGGGCTCAGTGGTAAGGGGCTCGCCTAGCATGTGCGAGGCCCTGGGTTCGATCCTCAGCACCACATAAAAGTAAATAAAATAAGAGTATTGTGACCAACTACAACTAAAAAATAAATATTTAAAAAAAAACCACGTGCTAGCACAGTTAATACTTCTGCCTTGCAGTTCTGTGAACAGCCCACTTAAGACCTCAACTTCCAGGTTCCCATACCAAGTGTACTGGGCTCAATTAATCCATTAGGAGCACCCCTTAGTGGAATTTAAAATCAATCATAAAAAATTTCAAGGTATCGTAGATACTGGGGCAGATAAATCTGTTTTATCGGGCGGATTTTGGCCCAAAAGCTGGCCTTTATATATTGCATCTGCCAATTTAGAAGGCATAGGACAGATCTCTCAACCTGCTCAGAGTGCCCAGTATCTTTGCTGGGAAGACCGAGATGGAAATACTGGAATTTTCAAGCCTTATGTTTTAGACACGTTACCGGTAAATTTATGGGGTAGAGATATCCTCAGCAGCTTAGGATTATTATTAGTAACTCCAAATTCTATCATGTCATTTGAGGGACTTAATCAAGGATTTACTCCTAGGGAAATTTACAGGAAGAGTACCTACCCATGACCCCATCTCCCCAACAGAGATTAATTAATGCACCCAGCCAAAATTTTTGGTAGGGACCCTGACCTTTTCCCCCAACCCAAAGAACAGCAGAAGAAATTAACTGGCTCACAGAACAGCCAATTTGGGTTACTCAGTGGCCCCTAACAGGGGAAAAACTTAAAATAGCCCACATGTTAGTTGAGGAACAACTTCAGATGGTCATTTAGATTCTACACTCAGCCCTTGGAACACACCCATCTTTGTAATTAAGAAAAAATCTGGTAACTGGAAATTATTACAAGACCTTAGAGCTGTTAATCATGTTATAGAGCCCATGGGAGCATTACAATCTGAGCTTCCTTCTCCTACAGCCATTCCTTTAGATTATTATTTGATAGTAGTAGATCTAAAAGATTTTTTTCTCTATACCTTTGCACCCAGATGACTGTAAAAAGCTTGCCTTTAGTGTCCCAGCAATTAGTTTTAAAGAACCCGTCAAAAGATATTGCTGGAAAGTGTTGCCTCAGGGAATGCGTAACAGTCCTACCCTCTGTCAAAATTTTGTGGCACAGGCTATACGCATGTGAGGGGAAAATCATTCATTTTATGGATGACATACTTTTAGCTCATGCTAATTTAGATGTACTCTTAAATTTTTTGCCCAATTAGAGACTTCACTCAGCAATGGGTTTGTGCATTGCACCTCAGAAGGTGCAAAAGACATCTCCTTTTCAATATCTAGGTCATGTGATTAAAGGACATATAGTCCGTCCTCAAACATACAAATAAAGAGTCAAGAAGTTGCACACCCTTAATGATTTTCAAAAATTATTAGGAGATATTAATTGGCTGAGGCCATCTTTAAAGTTAACTACTTCAGATTTAAGTTCTTTATTCCAGATATTACAGGGAGAACCTTCTCCCAACTTCTTCTGCCAGCTCACAGCAGAAGTGAGAACAACTTTGAGGAAAGTTGAAATTGCTATTAAGAATGCTCAGCTTACTAGAATTAATCCATAAGAGCCAATATATTTATTGATATTTCCAACTGCTCATGCTCCTACAGGAGTGATATGGCAAACATTGGGAGTTATTGACTGGATTCATTTAGCCCTCGCTCCTCAAAAAGTCATTAACTTCGGGCTGGGGATGTGGCTCAAGCGGTAGCGCGCTCGCCTGACATGTGTGCGGCCCGGGTTCGATCCCCAGCACCACATACAAACAAGGATGTTGTGTCTGCCGAAAACTGAAAAATAAATATTAGAAATTAAAAAAAGTTATTAACTCCTTTTCATGATTTTGTTGTTCAATTAGTGATAAAGGGCAGAACAAGAGTTTTACAGCTAGTTGGATCAGAACCTAATATTATAATCATTCTGTTTTCTGCTCAACAAAATGATTGGCTTTTCAAACTTCTAATTTTTGGCAAGTAGCTTTTGCTAATTTTCCTGGTCAGATAGAAAGCCATTATCCTCATGATAAAATTATTCAATTTGCATTGGTAACTCCATTCATATTTCCAAGGATTGTATGAGCACAACCAATAGATGGTGCACTAACAGTATTCACTGATGGCTCAACCTCAGGTAAAGCAGGTTTTTATAGTCATGCTCATACAGAGGTAATAAAAACCTCATATGTTCTGCCCAATGAGCAGAACTACAGGCTCTCATTTGTGTTAAGTTATTTTGCAAATGAGCCCATCAATATTTTTTCTGACAGCTTATATGCAGTTGAAGTTACAAAAAATATTGAAACTTCAGTTATTGGGTGTGCATCACAAGAGTTATTCAATTTGTTTCATGCCCTACAAATGCGAAAACACCCATGTTTTATAGGCCACATACAGGTCCACACTAATCTTCCAGGGCCTCTAACATCAGGTAATAATAAATTGATAAATTGGTTGCTGTTTGTCAGCAAATGTCTTTGTATGACTGTGCACATGCTTCACATTCTTCGCATCATCAAAATGCTTCTAGCTTACATAAACAATTTAGTATTACTAGAGAACAAGGTCGTCAAATTGTACGTCACTGGGGTAAATCCCCATAGATTAAAATCAAATTAATTATGGCAAATGGATGTAATCAAATTCCTCAATTTGGTAGACAATGTTACGTACATGTAATTGTAGATACTTATTCTAGATTTATCTTTGTCACAGCCCATGCAAAAGAAAATACTCAACATGTTATTTCTCATTGTTTAGCTGCCTTTGCAGTATTAGGATGTCCTTTACAGATTAAAACTGATAATGCACCTGCTTACGAAGCTCTTCTTTCCAACAATTTTGCCAGGAGTTTCGGATTGACCATAAAACAGGTATTCCTTATAACCCTCAGGGTTAAGCCATTGTAGAACGAGTTCATTTATCTATTAAGCTACAATTACAAAAACTAAAACAGGGAGATAGGTCTATGACTCCCCAAAATAACCTCAATCATGCTCTGCTTGTTTTAAGTTTTCTAAATTGTGACTCAGAAGGTCACACTGCAGCTGAACGACACATGTCTTCCACAGAACAACTTGGTCAATGGAAAGGCCCAGATCCAGTGATTATGTGGGGCAGAGGTCATGCTTGTATTTTCCCAGAAGGTGCTTTTTGTCCTATTTGGGTACCTGAATGCGCCATCAGACATGGAGGACCTAGAACCAAGATTCAAACGGCTGAAGATGGACCAGAGATGCCAGATGTAACTTCCCTCAAAAAGAAGAACTCTTGAAGGAAGAGAAGAAGAAAGATCCCAGAGAGACCGAATGAGGAAGCTACCCTCAAGGGATGACCTGAGGAGACCCACGATTCGGGCTGCGCCAGTGACTCGGCAGCCAGGGAGAGCTAGACCCGCAACCACCACGCTCCAGCCACGATAGCTCTGGGGAGCCTTCAAAACAAGGATTCGGGAACTCCAAACAGTGACCCATCACCTGCTTTTTCAAAGAAAGAAGGGGGGATATGTGGGGAGCCTTCCATCCTGACGCAAGAGGCTTGACGGGTCACTGCATTTCTTGGTGACCTGGACGTGTTGTCCTGGTTCGGAGGTTGAGGGCGTGTCTTCAGATGTGGCTGTGTCGCCCCTTGGGTTGAATTACACTCACCTGTCCCTTGTAACCCGCCACTTCCGGCCCTTTTTTGGACGGAACTTTCTAAGAATAAGGATCCCCCCAATAAGAGCCCACTTCCCAACGTGCTGGCTCCCTCTCGCCAGCCTCTCTGGCTTTCTCTTGCTCCCCCATGTGGGGAGCCTGAGGCTGAGAGCCGAGGGAGAAGCCATCCTAAAGCTTGCTGAAAGGTAAAGTGTGTGTGTCTGTGTTTTATTTGGTTTCCCTGGAAATTCACATGAGCGACCTTAAGTTCAGCTGCCTGTGTGGGTTGGGGGCTGCAATTTAGGTTTTTTTTTTTTTTTAACTTGGTGCTGGGGATTGAACCCAGTGCCTCACGCATACTAGGCAAGTGCTCTACCACTGAGCCACAACCCCAGACCCCCTTTATTTTTTTGAGACAGGATCTTGCTAAGTCACTTAGGGCCTCACTAAGTTGCTGAGGCTGACTTTGAACTCAAGATCCTCATGTCTCAGCCTCCCAAGCTGTTGGGATTACAGGTGTGCACCACCGTACCTGGCCTCAGGCATCAGTTTTTTTCTTTGCCAGCTAACTTTTTTTAATCTCTCGAGTCCCAATTTTTTTTCTTGTAGATTTTTTCATATTTACTTATTTTTTGGTCCTGGGGATTGAACCCAAAAGGGTTCTGCCACTGAGCTACTTCTGTTTACCCAGCCGTTTGTTTTTAAATTTGAGGCAAGATCTCACTAAATTGCCAAGGCTGACCTCTAATTTAAGGTCCTCCTGCCTCAGCCTCATGGGTCCCTGGGATTCCAGGCTGTGCTGCTACATTTTGTTCATTGACAGGGTCACTTGTTCTGTAGAATTCGCATCAGTTTGGATTCATCCACTGCGCCTCCATGGTAATTCATTATTTTTACTATTTTTTTATTTTTATTTTTTGGTACTGGGGATTGAACTCAGGGGCACTCGAACACGGAGCCACATCCCCAGCCCTATTTTATATTTTATTTAGAGACAGGGTCTCACTGAGTTGCTTAGCGCCTCACCATTGCTGAAACTGGCTTTGAACCCACGAGCCTCCTCCCTCAGGGCCCTGAGCCGCTGGGATTACAGGCATGGCCATGTGCCTGGCTTGTTCTGTTTTCAGTCTCATGGCCCGGTCTGGTTTAGGCTCACTTTCACAGCAGGAATGCCACTTTCACAGTAGGTATGTGTGTTTCCAGGGTCAGAATGAGAGGTTGTGCTGACACTCTCTGTGATGTTTGTAGTGATTGATCTCCTCACCTGGGTCACTTTTACACGGGAGCTGATTTGGACTTTAAAAGATCACTCTTGTTACTGGTGTGCGTATATGCGTGTGTGCGGGAGGGTTGTCGAGAGGACCGTGTGGTATATATAATCCTGCAGCGGAGTGCTCTGGCACGTGTCTGGCACAGTGACATGCTGTTGTTGTTAGACTGTGTGTAGGACCCAAGTGCTGAGCTTCTGGCCTGGCGTGCTCTTCCTCTCTCCTCTGCCCCTGGAGGAGAAGTCAGCAGTGCCCCGTGGCCCTGGGAGGCATGTTCAGGAAGGCCGGAGCCTCGCTCACCCGGTGCTTGCACCACTCTGTAAGTGTCCTCTCCCAGCACCTGCCCCTGCATGGCCCCGGCTCCTGGGATCTGGCGAGGTCCTGGCTTCAAGGTTGTGCGTGAGCCTGCTCCCTCAGGAAGCCTTCCCTGACTGCAGCCTGGCTGTCAGCCCTGGCTGGCTCCTGCTACCCTGCTCTAGACCTCGTAGCTGTGCATCTGGGTGGTCAGCTTGGGTGCTGCTGCTGCCTCCCGATCATCCCAGTGCCCAGCCCAGTACCTGATACACAGTAGGTGCTCCATAAATGTTGATTGAATGACTGTCATGTGTAAAGCATAAGAACAGGCATTCGTTTATCCTAGTACTGAGTGCCACACTTGAAGGTCACTCCCGGGCTGGGGATGTGGCTCAATGGGCTGGGGATGTGGCTCAAGCGGTAGCATGCTTGCCTGGCATGCGTGCGGCCCGGGTTCGATCCCCAGCACCACATATAAACAAAGATGTTGTGTCCGCTGAGAACTAAAAAATAAATAAATATTTAAAAAAAAAAAAAAGAAGGTCCCTCCCTTGAGCACGCCACGTTTCTGGAATCTCCATGATTTCCACCTCCTTCCTAAACCCACTGAACTCCCCTCACCTCTGTTCCTCTCCCTGCCAGTCTGTGCCCTGTGCCCCTACTCCTCCCCCACCAGCCCTGCCTAGTGCCCTCACTCCAAGGTCTGTCTCCCAACATTCCTCCTCCCCACTGCCCCTGACTCGCCTCACTTTACCCTTTTTATAGAACACATCCCCAGTTCAAAAGTAACTCCAGGCTGGGCACTGTGGCACACACCTGTAATTCCAACTACTCAGAAGGCCAAGGCAGGAGGATGGCATGTTCAAGGCCAAACTGCAACTTAGTGAGACTCTGTCAAAATAAGAAATAAAAAGAATGGGATGTGGCTCAGTGGCTGAGCATCTGGGGTTCAATCAGCAGTACCACACACACACAAAAAAAGTAGTGCATGTATCACTGAACCCATGACACTGTGGGTTTTAAGATGTGCTGTTAATTTATGGACTAGTAGGAGGAGCAGCTAAACTGATACGTAGGTTATAAGACACACCTGAATTCAGAGAAGATGCCATTTGAAAAACTGTTCTTATCAGATGCTGGGAGCCATTAGCCAAGTAGGTATGACAATTTCCTTGCCAGTGTACCCCATGTTGCTTAGTGGAAGGACTCGTGGAAATAGGACATTTTGCAGTGACATTGCATGTAGGTGACCTTGCTCAAGGACCAGGGCGAATCCAGGTTTAGGGTGTTCCCAGTTTAGGGCATTCCAGGTTTAAGGTTATTCCTGCTGGGAATAGGGCGTATCCTGCTGCCTGAGTTCCCCTTGAGTTCTCACGGGATTCAGACAGTATTTTTTGGGAGACAGAAGCCCAGTGGGTGTGAATTTGGGCAGAGAACGTGGATTTCCCCAGAACATGATTGTAGACGGCTGGTGTGAGTTCCGGAATAAAGAGTTGCTGTTTGAATCTACAAGCTGTGTGGTGGCTCGTGATTGTGTGCCCAGCCAGACTGTGGCATTTGAGCCCAGCCAGACTGTGGCAATCAGAATCAATCCATCAATAGTTATGCTCATGTACAAAAACCTCTAGAAACAAACACAGAAACACGGAACCAGAATCACCTAGTCGCCACTGAGGGAGCAGCTTGGTGTTTGACAAATTGCCTTCTAAACTCCTCACTCTGCTCTCATGTTTTCACAGAAAACATGCATGCACATACAAATACGTATTAGGGTAATTTTGTATTTACAGAACAGGTGTTACTGGTACTATTTTATAGCCTATGTTAAAGACATCAATAAACCCCATATGTCAAGTCCTCACGACTAAAACACTCAGGGTCACTCCAGGTGAACTGGGCTGCACGAAATAACCACACAAGAGACACTTGTGACCTTAGGGGTCTGCAGAAAGAGAAAGAGAGAGAGAGAGCAAGTGTGAGTGAGCTGAACCCTTTAATTGAGGAGAAGCCATTCAAATGAGGCAAGGGGTCAGGTTTCAGGAGGTGGGTCTAGCTTCCTAATGGCTTCTAAAACGTGACTGTCTCACACATTTCTTCCACTTTATTTTTTCCTTTTCTTTTAGAGACCAGGTTTCCAACTCAGGCTCAAGTGATCTTCCTGCCTTGGTCTCTCCTGTTGATGGGACTTCTTGCTCACCACGACACCTGGCTCCCTATTTTTTTAACCATAAAAACAAAAATTTTATTTTAGGAAATTTAGAAAATAATAGTTCTAAGTAGGAAAAAAATTAAATCTAATAAACAAGTGACCAAAGACAGTCACCAGCACCATCTTGGCTGCAGCCGGTGGTTCCTGGTGTGCGTCTCCCTCGTGGCGAATGATTCTGAGGTGCGCTGAGTGCTAGGCCTGGCGATGGTGTCAGGGACTCAGCCAAGGGACAGTGTGACCCACTGGGGAAGGGCCAGGCACTGCACAGCTGGTCCAGGGCCCCTGCGGGAGGCCCAGGTGCCTCCGCTGCTGGTGCAGCCACCCTGACAGGTCTTGGCCGGCTTCTCTGACCTCCAGCCAGTCCCTGAGCCTCTGGGCCTCGCATCTTCATCTGGCAGGTGGGGATTATCAGGTGGTTCCAGAGGGATGGGCGCTGTGGGGACTGAAGGCATCTGGGCCCACAGCAGCGGTCACTATTGGCCCTGACAGGCGGCTCCCAACCCACCAGCCACCTGGGACGGTGAGCCCCCAGGACAGGAGTTCCCTGCCCCGCAGCCCCACTCCTGTTGACTGGGGGGAGGAGGAGGCCAGGAGGAGCCGCTTCCCCTCAAGGCGGGCTGGGCAGGGTGGGTATCAGCCTGGGACAGTCTCTGACACCTGTGGCACAGCGGGGAGCCGGCCTGGAAGGATTCAGGGAGAACAGTGTGATCTGGATGAGGACCCTGAGGCCCTCCCAGGTCTGAGTGAGTTAGAACATGGCCTGGGGTCAAACAGGGCAGCCAGGTGTGACCCTGAACACATCACTCCCCCCACCCCCTCTGTTGGCTCATCTGTGAAATGGGCCCAGGCAGGTCCTTCTGGGAATTAGCTGGAAGAGCTCAGCAAAACCCCTGTGATGCTGCTGTCCTCCCAACCTCCCGCCCTCCTCAGCCTCGGCCCCTCCTGGGTCAAACTAACCTGGCTGCATGAGGCCTCTGCCTTGGGACCTGGGAGCCAGGGCTCCATGGGTGGCCCAGGCAGCCTCTGCAGACTGGGAACCTGGGGCTGGGGGAGGGCAGAGAAGCCTTCCCAGAAGGTAGGAGGGACAGAAGGGAGAAGGTGGAGCTGCCTGGCCACCTGGGAGCCCAGGTCCTCCAGAAAGGAGGACACGGCTGTGGCCAGAAAGATCTCTCCACAACGACTGCACCTGGAAGATTGTGATGCTGACCCTCACTTGCTCTGTCCCCAGCTCACCATGTCCAAACGACTGGTGGCCATCATCTAGAAATGATTTAAAATATACAGGATGAGCCAGGCATGGTGACACACTCCTGTAATCCCAGCGGCTCAGGATGCTGAGGCAACAGGATTGTGAGTTCAAAGCCAACCTCAGCAGCTTAGCGAGGGCTAAGCAACTCAGCCCTAATACCCTGTCTCTAAATCAAATATAAAGTGGGGTTGGGATGCAGCTCAGTGGCAAAGCTCCCCTGGGTTCAATCCCTGGTGAATATAAATAAATAAACAAATAAAGATAGATAGATAGATAGATAACATGGGATGATGTATGCAGGTTCTATGCAAAAGCTATTCTTGCCAGTTGCAGTGCCACAGCCTATAATCCCAGCAGCTCAGAGGGCTAAAGTAGGAGGATCGAAAGTTCCAGTCCAGCCTGAGCAACTTAGCGATGGCCTGTCTCAAAAAAATAAAAGCAGCTAGGGATGTGGCTCAGTGGTAAAGCACCCCTGGGTTCAATTCCCAGTACTTCCCCCCCAAAAGCTATTACTTCTGCAATTTTATATCTAGACCAAGGGCTGGAACCAGTCCCCCAGGGAGGGTGAGGGACTTGGTGCAGAGAGTCAGGTAAGAAAGTAAGACGCAGGCAGTACTGTCCCAGACCTGTGTACAGAAGTTAATGTTTTTTTTTTTTTTTTATCTTGTTTCAAATAGGAAAGAATTGAGTTCATTGTTAGTAGTGATACAAGGACACAAGGCAGGATGAGTAAGAAAGATTTAGTCATCCTCACTTCCACCCTCCACACTGGACAGGACAGATACCTCTATACTTCATATACATGTAGTGTTGGCTTTTATATTTACAAAAAGCAGGACTACTTTTTCTTTCAGACTACCCTAATGCCCAGAATTTTGTGTTTCACAAAAATTTTAGCCGGTGTGGCGGCACATTCCTGTAATTACAGCAGCTTGGGAGGTTGAGGCAAGAGGATCACGAGTTCAAAGCCAGCCTCAGTTGCTCAGGCACTAAGCAACTCAATGAGACCCTGTCTCATTTTAAATAAATACAAAATAGGGCTGGGGATGTGGCTTAATGGTCGAGTGCCCCTGAGTTCAATCCCTGGTACCAAAAAAAAAGAAAAACTTTGCACACCCTTCTTCAATACTCCATGTTAAGAGGAGACAGCCAGGACCAAGGCCTCACCTCACCCGGCTGTCCTCTACCCTGGGCTTCCAGACCTAGAACTTCAGGCTGCTCCCCTTGTCCTCTTGTAAGATGAGCTGGGCAGCCACATGGCCCTCTGCAGAAAAGGTAAAGTCCAGCTCTGTAAGAATACAGACAGGATAAAACGATTCAGTTTCTCTTCTGATACACACAGTTCAGAACACTCCTGCGACGCTAGATCCACGGGGAACCCCAACCCTGCACCCCAAGCAGTACTGCAGATGATTCTTCTGGAAGCTTCAATAAGGAAAATGGCTACTGTTTATCAACTCAATCTTTTTTTTTTTTTTTGTAGTAGGACATAATACCTTTATTTTACTCATTTATTTTTATGTAGTGCTGAGAATCGAACCCAGGGCCTCACACGCACTAGGCGAGCGCTCTACCACTGAGCCATCAACTCAATCTTTAGTTCCTCTTCCCTCCCTGTAGACGCAAGGGTGGACCAAAAGTTCCAACTCTAAATCATGATTTGATCCCCTGGAAAACAGACCCCTCTAGCCCATCTATGGGTCCCAAGCACCAGTCATCCCATTAGCATAGAAAAGGCAGTCTTATCCCTCTGGGGAGTCCAAGGATTTGGGGAGTTATATGCCAGGAAACGTGCTGGAAGACCTAATGTGGTCACAACCTCAAAAGCCCAGAGGGAAGAACCTGGCAAGCTGAGCAAGGCCAGGGGCTCTCTCCTGACTCAAAGAAGGTGGCAGGTTCACGAGGTAGGGCAGAGAGTAGGGAATTCATTCCAGTCATGGCTCAGAGTTTACTGGTCTCTTCTGTCCCAGGCCCTGTGTCTCATGGCCTGGTGGGGAAGGCAGACCAGGAAGCAGGTGCTGTGGAGGAAGTGGGACAGGGGAGCAGGTAGGAGGACATGAAACCTGGGTTGGGAGAGTGGGACAAGGGGAAGGCTGCCTAGAGGAGGTGACCCCTAAGCCATGCTGCTGAATGCATTAGACCCTAAACCCAAGCCTCTTCTGTGAAGGGCCACATGGTAACTATGTGCCAACTTTGGATTCCAACAGTGGTTCTTAAACTTGGTGTCTCAGCATCACTAGAGGGAACTTTTCCATCTGGTGTGATGGCATCCAGAGCCCATAAGTGGACTTATACTGTACATGTTCTGCCACTTGTCGATTTCACTCAGCGTATATCATGGACACCTTTCCATGTCAGTACAGCCTCACTCTTTAATGGCTGCAGACATACTCCTGCATTGGCTAGAGGCGCCGGAACTGACTTCACCCGTTCCACTCTTGGATGCTTCAGATAGCACCCTGTGGTAACCAAAGCCGTGGTGATTATCCCTGTGTGGAAGTCTGTTCATACATGTGCCTTTCTCTGAGATAAATTCCTAGAAGTGAAACTAGTGAATCAAAGGCTATAAACATTAACAGTGTGGTATATCGACATAATGAACTTGCTGTCCAGTGAGGGAACAATTTATAACCAGCTAATCAGCAAGTCTCAGCGCTACCTGGAAAATTCTTGGGCTAAGGACAGGATACTTTTCTCTCCCTCTTGCAAACTACTGACATTACAAATCTTACAAAGTGCTAATTTTGTATTCTTGCAATATTACAGCAATATTTTAATGTTGATTTTCTTCTTCTTTCTTTCCTCCAGGGCTGGGGACTGAATCCAGTCTCGCACATGCTTGGGAAGTGCTCCACGGCTGTTATATCCCCAGCCCCAATTCTTTTCGTGTGCATCTGTATTTTCCCTTCCTTTCCTCATTTTTCATTTTGGTGTGTGTCTTCATGTTGCTGCCTTGTAAGAGTTGTTTTTGTTTGTTTTCAAGAAAAGGGATTGAATCCAGAAGTCTGCTACTGGTGAGCTACATTCCCCAATTCCCCTTGTTTTGAGACAGTTTTCTCCCCAAGTTTCTGAGTCTGACCTGGAATCAAATTTTCAAAACTCATTCCTCAGTCTCCTAAATTGCTGAAATTATAGGCACACTCTACAATACCTGGCTTTTTTTTTTTTTAAGAGAGAGAGTGGGGGGGGGAGAGAGAGAGAGAATTTTTTTTAATATTTATTATTTTAGTTCTTGGCAGACACAACATCTTTATTTGTATGTGGTCCTGAGGATCAAACCGGGGCCGCACGCATGCCAGGCGAGTGCGCTACCGCTTGAGCCACATCCCCAGCCCGAGAGAGAGAATTTTTAATATTTAATTTTTAGTTTTCGGCAGACACAACATCTTTGTTTGTATGTGGTCCTGAGGATCAAACCGGGGCCGCACGCATGCCAGGCGAGTGCGCTACCGTTTGAGCCACATCCCCAGCCCCAATATACCTGGCTTTAAGAGCTTGTTGGTGTTTTCCTAAAAAAAAAAAAAAGAAAAAAAAAGAAAGAAAAGTGATTGCTAATCCCTCGTATAGGCATATCTACTAATTCAGAAATTATCCATGTTATACTTTAATCATTTTTTAAAAAATTGTTTCTCTTTCCACATTTCTTCTTTTTAATTTCAGGGTTTTTTTTTTTTGTTGTTGTTGTTGTTGTAGATGGACAGCATGCCTTTATTTTTTTTTAATGTGGTGCTGAGGATCGAACTCAGTGCCTCACACATGCTAGGCAAGTGCTCTGCCACTGAGCTACAGCCCCAGACCCTCTTTCCACATTTCTTACTATTACATTATAGTTGGAAGAGTTCTTTTGGTTTGGGTGTACTGGGGATTGAACTCAGGGGCATTTGGCCACTGAGCCATATTCCCAGCCCTATTCTGTATTTAGAGACAGGGTCTCACTGATTTGCTTAGCGTCTCGCTTTTGCTGAGGCTGGTTTGGAATGTGCAATCCTCCTGCCTCAGTTTCCCAAGCTGCTGAGATTACAGGAATGTGCCACAGTGCCCAGCTATAGTTATTAAATATCTATACCTCTTTTTCATAGGTTGCAATGATTTTTTGTCTAACTTTGCTCATGGTGTCACCTGTTATATAAACACTGTCCTTTTGAGTACTTGCACATGGATAACTCGTTTATTGGGTTCTAGACCAGGTTTCAGTCACTCAAACTGAGTGTTTTACACAACTCCTCAGCACACAAACATATTATCTGATCTTCTGCTACATGGGGCTTCAAAACACACAACATAAAGCCCTACCCCTCTGCCTCATCTGTTTGTGACTGCAGCCAGCTTATTTCCCTTCTCTGGGAACTGTCCCTGCTGTCCTGCAGGGTTACCCACCCCTGACAAAGATCCTGGCGAGTTTCTTTGGGAAGCTGCTGGGACAGGAGTTGGACCCACTTGAGAATGTGCTGGTGACCGTGGGTACCTACGGGGTCCTGTTCACAGCCTTCCAGGCCCTGGTAGATGAAGTGGGTGACATGACTCGGGCTGGGTGTGATGAGGGGTCAGAGCAGTGCTGACCACAGTGAACTTTTTTTTGACTGTTATGAGCCCATGACATTGATGGCTGGGGGTCGCCCTGTGTTTGTGTCCCTGAAGCCAGTAAGGATGCCATGTGGGGTGTGGTGGGCCCAGGGACCCACGGACTGGGTGGGACTGGGCCCAGGGAGATGGGACAGAAAGGACACAAGTGAAGGAGACCAGGTCCTGTGGGCTGGGAGGTGTAGTGGCCTCCAGAGCCCCAGGGAGGAGGTGGAGGGGGCAGATGCCCAAGGAGGGGACTTAAATGTCAGGGGGTGACTATAGCCACCCTTCCCACCTCCTCTTGCAGAGCCCCACCCAGGATGGGGAGCTGGATTCCAGCAGCAACTGGCGGCTGGACCCCACAGAACTGGCCAGCAAGTTCACATCCCGGACCAAAGCCCTGGTCCTCAACACACCCAACAACCCCCTGGGAAAGGTACCTGGGACAGCTCTGTTCAGGGACCCTCCACCTGCATTCAAGTCCCGGCTCTTCCTGACAAGCTTCCTCGGGGCCTCAGTTTCTTCATCTGTGGAGTGGGAGGGTTGCCCGCCATGACCTGAGGATGGAGGTGCCAGAGTCGCAGGGAAAGAAAGGGGCAAGAATCTCAGGGAGGTGAAGGGTGGGTTGGTGGGGACAGTGACTTGCCTCTCAGCATTTCCTCGACTGTAAATAGGAACCTGAGGGACCATCTCACAGGGTCGGTGCAGCCGAGGTGTGATGGGATGGTGCAGGAAAGCCCCCAGCAGCCAGCATGGCCATAAGCCCTCTGTCTGAGCAGGACTTTGCATTTGGGCATGGTACTGGCTGCAGACCTGTGCCACCCCTGGGTCCCTGCAGGTGTTCTCCGAGGCGGAGCTGGAACTGGAGGCCAGGCTGTGCCAGCAGCATGACGTGCTCTGCATCTCGGATGAGGTGTACCAGTGGCTGGTCTATGACGGGCTCCTGGAGACTCTGAGCAGTTCATTCACTTGAGTCACAAGCATTTGTCACACCTACTTGTTCCAGGCACTGTGTTGTGAGAACAGAGGCAAAGAGAGCATCAGACCCCACCCAAGCAAGGTCTAACACTGTGAAGTTTAATTTTAGGGGTTAAAGGTACTATTCACTGTGAGATACAGTCACAGGGAGACAGGAAGCAACCCAGCAAGGCCACAGAGGTGACCCAAGCCAGCCAGTAAAGCACCTAGAGCCAAGACTCAGAGGCCATCCAGGCCCCTCTGTGCAGTCCCACACTCCTCAGCAAGCATGGGGACATGGCTGACGGTGGGAAGGAGAGTCATTTGCCCATGGCAGAGCTGGAACCAGAACGCAGGGGAAGAAGTGCCAGGAGAAGCGTGGCTCACCAGACCCACCCTGTGCTGCCAGCCCAGTCCCCTTCAGGAAGAGGCTGCCACACAACCCCCAACCCATGACTCCTTCCCAAAAAAGGCAATAAGTGCCTCAACCCAGGACCAGCTGGGTCTTGGTTCACTCCTGCCTGGAACCAAGGGCAAGGGCGGCCAACACCATAGCAGACTCACCAAGAACCCACACCCCCAAGCCGTGCTCCCTCTCCCAGGACCAACAGCGCTGCGTCTCTGCCCACCTAGACGCTGGCCAGGCCCCGACCTCACTAGACGTGGCTCTTCCGACCCGCTGGATGCACCGGGCAGGACAGGGGCCGGGGTCTCAGACCCCGAGCTCGTCATCCCGGGAACCCCGGCCCACACCGGTACCAAGAGCCCAGCCAGGGATCCTGCCCCCAGGTCAGGGCACTGTCCCCGCATGACCAGGAGCAGCGAGCGTCCGAGGGGAGAGGACGCGCCGCGGAACCCAGCCCAGGACAGCCGCGGGAAGGGGAGCGTGTGCGCAGAGGGCATCCGGGGACCGGGGATGACGGGGGGACCTGGGGAGCCGGCGGAAACTCTGGGTAAGAGCGCGCAGCGGGCTCGGGGTGCTGGCAGGGGGCTCGCGCGCCGTGGCGCGTGTGAGTGGGCGTCCAAGGTGACAGCTCGCGCCCCTGGCCCCATCAGGCAGCTCTCGCCCTGGCCGTCCAGCCTTGCCGTCCGCCGCCGCGCCCCTCGGCCGCCGGCACTTCTTCATTCCCCACTTCACCGCTTACCCCGCCTCCCCAGAAGTGACGTCACCACGGCCCTCACCCGCCCCCGGTGCTCCGCCGTCCCTCACGCCCCTCCTCGGGTCACCCCAACCCCAGCCATCTTTCTTCCGGGCGGAAGTAGCCTAACCGGCGCTGGGTCCCCTTAAAGGAGCAGGGACAGCAGGGACGTTGGTGTTAAGCTTGGGGTCAAGAAGCAAAGCGACCTGAGCAGAGGTGAGTCGTTTATTCGAGCGTGTCCGCTCCGAGGTCGGTTGTCGTGCCCAGGAAGACTTGTTAAGTGTTTGAGCGCTTGGTTTCCGAGCGCTGGATGTGTGTGTGATGCTTCTGTGTGTGAACAGTCCCTGGTTAACTTCGTGTGCTGCCTGCACCTCTGCTTTGGGGCCACCTCTTTCATCACGTCCCCCTCCGTGATCGGAGCAGCGGAGAACTTGGGCCCCTAGTGTCAGCAAAGCAAAGCTGGGCGGGAACCGAGTCCTGGGATGCCAAGTCCCCCCTCCTTGGATCCTTCTGGGTCCTTACAGTTCCCGGGCCGAAGTAGGGTTAGCAAGCTGTTAACAATAATCCACACGTTGGGAAGCTGTGCAGCCATCCAGATGAGAAGTGTTTGATATGCACTGACATGGGGCTACTTCCAAAATACCTTGGATGAAAAATGAAAGCGTTGGGGGTGTGCTGTGCCTTTAACATGGATGAAACACCGTGTGCATCTTTCCACAATGTCAGAATTCATTGAATAACAATAAATTCACAGGCTACACCACTTTCATCAGTGGCAGTTTATGGGATACTTGTAGGTGACCTGGTAGTTATAAGCTGAGTAATCATGGGTTCTTTTATTCCAATCTTAATTTCTAATATCTGAACACTCAAGTTACATATCGCACTTTACACAAATTGTATATATACACACACGTGTGTGTGTATATGTGAGTGTGTGTGTGTGTGTGTGTGTAACAGAAAGGCCAAGAAAGTGTTAAGGCCACCACAGGGGTTCAGGAGGCTGAACTAAGAGCAAAGGCAGAGAGCAGATATGAATTCATTGTTGTTGGTTCAGAGTGCAGAGCTGTCAAGGCACAGCAACTTATTCTAGACCAAGGTCCAGAAGGAGGCAGTTTCACAGTGTCAGCTTGATATGCCAGCTTAGAGTGGGATATGCATGGTCATTATGTGCAAGAGAAACTGCACACTGCTGATGGAGTTTTTGATGATTGTTTCTGTAACAGTTTTCCTGGGCAAGGCTAGTAACAAGTGACCAGGTGACAGGGTCAGGGTGCTGCCATGTCCAGTCCTGGGGAGCTCCTTCTTTTACTGGTCTGAAATGAGGGGTTTGCATCTGGTAAGGTTGATGCGCTCCAATGTTTGCTGTTCCTGTTATGATTTGGGATATCCACATGTCCAGGTACTCCTTAATTCAGATGGATATGTTGGCATGTATAAGTTATTTATCAATTTGTGCCTATAGTGGTGCCAGACAGATGGTACTTGTTTGCTTGTAGAAACAAGTTGTGGAGTCATTCCACCCGAGCCCTTAAATTCAGAATGGAGTAGCTCATGGCAAACTACTGCTTTACAAAGTGTAGTAACAAAGGTTTAAGCACAGCCTGAAAACTACTGTTTACCACATTGTGGAGTGACTTGGTGCGGAGCACAGCCTGCTGTCCACAGAAGGAACAGGAAGAACATCATTGAGCAGGACTGTGATTTGTGTTCTAGGTGATCTGTGGATGTGATTGTGAGTGTCTGCCAGGTGTGTGCATCAGTTGTCTGATGAGATGTACAAGTTGTTGACTAGTTTCTCACCCAGGAGCCCTGGTTGCATCCCACCTTGTGTGCATGTGGTTGTGAGATGTCCAAGTTGTTAACTGGTTGCTTCACACAGAACAGGGTCCTGGGTACCTCCGCAAGGGGGAAGCACTTACTACCTTTTGCACAAATTGATTATCCAAACTGAAGTGCTGAGGTCCCCTGTGGAGCCAAGGCCTTGTTTCAGCTCTCCTGCTGGGAGGTCTTGTTTTCCCCTTTTAATACAGGAGGAAAGGGCCCCAGGGAGGGAAGGGAATTTAGCAACCTCAGCCAGGAAGCAGAGAGGCTGGGTTGGAGCACAGGAAGATTTTACAGTAGTGCCGGTCTGTGATCCCTCTTGTCCTGCTCCCTACTGGGAAGCTGCTTTGCTGTCATCATGTGGGGCTGGCTCAGGACAGGCATCCAGTAGCTTCTTATTGCCAGAACAAGCGAAGCGGATGGAGAACAGGCCTGTAATTCCAGCAACTGGGACAGCTGAAGCAGGAGGATTGAAAGTTCAAGGCCAGCTTACGCAACTTAGCAAGACACGGGTCTTAAAATAAAAATTAAAAAACCCCACAAAAACAATGAAAAGGGCCGAGGCCATAGCTTAATGATAGAACACCCCTGGGTTCAACCCCCAGTACTGGGGAAAATGAAAAAAAAAAAAAGAAGAAGAAGAAGAAAGAAAGAAAAAGAAGGTTGCCTAAAGGGAACTCCCAGAGCAGGTCATTGTCCTCTTCCCCAAGAGAGGCTGTGGGCCCCTCAGTGTGTCCCTCAGTACCCTGGGGTCATCAGCACTGAAGTGTTGGAACCTACTGCGCACCTGTCAAGCTGCCAGAGGCTGAAGGTCAGGTGAGAGCAGGGTGCATGCTCAGTTTCTATCCTGTGAGTCTACAAGGGCAACCTGGCAGCTCATGGTGCGTAGAGGTCCTTGGGTTCACAGAGGAGGGGGCTGCACCTAGCTACCCTAGCTAAAGTCAGAGAAGGCTCCCAAGGGAGGTGACTTAATTTGCAACAGAAAGTGTTTGGAATGTCTGGGAGGGGTACCGAGGAGGCTGGAGACACAGGAGCTCACAGGGCTCATCCCCTGCCCTGCCTCAGGGTTACCAAGGGGCTGTCAGAAACTGGCAGGAGGCAGGTCAGAGGATGCCATCTGGCTCCTGCGTGACTCATCTTTTTCCTTGGAACAGTGATTTCCCACCCTCAATCTCCCAAACCTCCCAAGGGCTGGCTCCTGACTTTCTAATCCAGGTGGGGCGACAGAGGACACAGGACAGCTAAAGGCACTAAGGAAGTTCTTCACCCTGCTTCCCCCACCCCCATCTCTGCCAGTCCCCAGAGCAGCCGTCCTTGCTGACGCAAATCAAGGTGTCCAGTCTCAGGATTGGAGGTTCCTCTGTCCTGACTGTCTCCAGCTGCCCGGGTTCTCAGATGGCACGTGTGCCAGGACACCTAGATGGCCAGGAGCAGGCTGGACCCCTGCTTCTGCAGCCATCAGGCTAAATTACTCCAGCTGTAGCAGGACAGGGGGTCCCTGCCATACCTGTCCTAATAGACCTGGGCCACATTCCACTCCTGGAGGGCACTGCCAGCTCCCTGAAAAATCTCCAAGGGCACATCCCTCTGCCTCATTCCTGCAGAGCTGGGAGCTTTGAACTTCCAGCTGGGGACCTCCTGTGCTTTTCTGGGACTCTGGGTAAGTCCTTTCCCTGCTCTGAGCCTCATTTCTCCCCCTAGAAAACGGATGGACCCTTCTCAAAGATTCCCGCCAGGCTCCATCATGTA